CATTCTATGATTCTATGATTCTGTGATTTCTCAAATACAGAAGAAAGAATGCCTATCTGAACTAAAAGCAAAAACCAGTCACAGTGTGGAGCCATACCTTTTCTGCAGAAGAACAGGTCAGTACAAATGTTGAGAACACTGGTAGTGGATATTTGGTTTGAGGGTCCCAGCACTCAATAGTAGCTCCCATAGGAAGGCAGAAGAGAGGTACAGATTCCGACAGTGGGAATGACTCATAGTTCTCTTGAGGATATCTGAAAATTAAGCCTTCAGAATGGGAGAAGGAAAAGTAAGCACATTTGCTCTGCAAGCCCTAGATAATTTAATCAATATATTTTCCATAATATACAGCAAAGTCTGTTGGTTATCTGGACTTTATAACTGCAGATTACATCTGCAGAAGAAAGTCTCTCATTTGGCAGCAAGACTAAGTCATCCAAGTCACAATCATTTAAAAATTGTGTATGAATACTGAAGCATTCCCTTTTGATAACTGCTCAAAAACCAGTACATAGTAAAAACTAATTAGTGAAGATTTTTACTTTAAACCAGTTGGGAATTACCTACGCTATTCACATGTACCATTAGAATTGAATTTTATTACAAAGAAATTGCTGTGAAGAAAGTGATAATTTATCTACTGTAACAACAGCAACAATACCTTCATTGAAAATAGGATGAACTAGCTGACTGTCTACATTTTCTGCTAAACTGTCAACATGTTCCATTTAAACAAATAGTTTATTCAGTTTTCAGAAATATATCTAACTCTTGCTGGTAGAAAACAAGCACACAAGCATTGGTTTACTATTGCTCTTCATCTAGCTTATTTTATGGTACACTGACTTCATTATCTATGCTTTCTACTTCTACTTGGTAGTTTACTCCTTTCAAAGGAATGTGGTGCACTTAGTGCTCAACAGAAACTCTTTTGAAAGTTTTTTTTTTACTTCTTCAGGAAAAAAACACCTGTAGCAATACATTAAAAAACTTATAAAACCCAGACTTAAAAGACTTTTTGTCATTTATTGTTCAGAATATTTTTCACTCTCCTCAAATAAGATAAGTGAATAGTTGTGGAACTGAAGGGAAGAAACACATTTAAATTTCAAATTAAATGAAAGATGTTGCATTAGCTGTGAGACATAAAAAGAAATATGAGTAAGGTCAAATGGAATTTTTAATTACTCCTTCTCCATCATCACCAGCATAAGAAATATAAAGTCTTTTGTTACATCTGAAATGCTTGCTAAGCTTTCTGCCAAAGCTCCTAAGCTACCAAACCTGTCATGATAAGAACTAAATTAATATGGAACAATGCTATTCCTGCTAAGGCTTTTTTTTTTTTCTTTTTTGCCTGGGAAAAAGTGAGGCAAGCAAAGAAGGCATTATAGGAGTTGAGTTCAATTGATATGCTATAGGAACAGAATTCTGACAGACAGCACTTAAGCTTTGAAAATCATTATTTGATTTCAACAAGGCATTAGAATCCTTTTGTTAGCACGTTGAGATAGTTTGCTTCTAAAATTACTTACCAGCTTTATATGCTAAAGAATTAGAAGCTGGCACAGACTTCTTGTAACAAAGGTATACACTGGAACCCCACTGGAAGACACAAGTTTCATCTTAGAACCAGCAAAGATGACAACAGGCAGCAGAGAAATCAAGTATAAGCATTTGAATGTACTCCCACTTACAAAGCAGACATTTAAATAAAAAGTGTTGCAGAATAAAATGACTGGCTGGCTGCTGAGTGCATGTAAATCATGAAATCAAGAACGCACTCTTCTCACATTTTTTTAGAGAATACAGGATTTATATAAAATAATCACCACCACACTACTCTCTGACTTATTCCACTAGAAGAACAGGGAAAAGTGAAGCAGATCATTTGCAGCTTGTTGTTCTCTTGGTTATTGAAAGACTTTTATGGGAACCTCATCAGTGGAAGTGAAATTCTAAACATCATCACTTGCAGCTTTTATTGTAATTCCATAAACTGGTTATTTACATAGTGTTTTTGCAGTTTGTCTAAACATACTCTACCATTCCAAAAAAACCCACTTATTTCAGCCTGAGTAAACTAAACGCAAGACAGACTAAATAAAAGCAAACTGATTGAAAAAAAGGTACATGAAGAAACTATAAGCAGTAATTATCATTCTTACATGTCTTAGTAACATAGGCATTATTAATAACAAAGAAAAAAGTGTTTGTGATTCATCCTAAGTGTCACAATCACCAAAGGGGGGGGGTGATAATAAAAAAAAAAATTAAAAAATATCCATTGTACTACTCCTAAATAGCACCTAGGCATGAATATGCAAACTGAAGTAGTGAGTAATCAGAAAAGTAATTCCTAATGCCGAAGGAAATCGGAGCAACAACATCTACAAAACCGAAGTCTCACCCTCAGTATATGGAATGAAAGAATTATGATGTTGTGATAGAACACAATTATAACAGCGCTAAGAAGAGTTCAAAGAGCTACTCCTTTGGGTTTGTTTGTTGGGTTTAAAAAAAAAAAAAACAACAGACAAACCTCAAGCTTTTAAATACTCACCATTCCACAATTTAAATTCTTATCAACTTTGCAGAATGTATGAGGAGGGGTTTCTCCTTTGCTGGTAACAATAACACAGATATCTGTCACTGCCAATGAATTTTGAGGTCGTATTGGAGGAGCTCTTCGGTACGTGATAAAGATCCGTTGAGAAGAAGCTGAACTGTTATTAACATTAGCACAACGACCATAAGGAGTAGCTTGAATCACCTCGCAGCCTGAAATGATGCGTTCCTTCCCTTCATATAGAACTCTGCAGACAGGCAGGAAACAAAATATTGCACACATTCAAATATATATGAAGTTACTTGGACAAATTCACAGAATGTGTTCATCTGTTAGCACCCTACGTCATCATTGCAACATTCTAACTTGCATTTCATATACTGTCTTTTGTCGTGCATAATTTGAGGCAAATAAACTGTTCTGAAATATTTAAATATTATAAGAAATCTCTGTGAGAACAAATCATAATTATGGAAAAATAAAATCGAGCCACACTGATAAGGATTTAGTTATAGAATCAGTAGGAATGCTGCACTATCAATGAAAATTAAATACAAAGGAGGGTTTAAATTGCTTGCACACATGATACCTGATAATTTCTTAGAAATTATTTCCATCACTAAACAGCCTGGAAAGTAATTTCAAGCTTGCCTCATTTTTTTGTTAAGGGATGGTGTTGGAAAAGAACAACATAAGACAGAAGTCTGCTTCCTAGATGAATTTTTACAGGGAAAAAAACCCCAAAATCAGTAATGATTTACATTCATAGTTTGACTAACATTCCTTAAAGGGAAGGGGGGTTGGCAGGGGAAGAGAAAATAACATTCCATTCCACAGAAAAGGAAGAAATAATAACTACAGTTGATTGTACTCCTAGAAAGCAGAATATATCTTACATGGCCATACAGCAACATTCACATGGTACCTGGATTTTTTAGCCAGATCACTAGTTTAGATAACCATATTCTAAGCAAAGAAAGAAAGATCCTCCACAGCTTCACAGCAGTAAATGAACTAAAACTTTATACTCCGATCTTTCCCAAACATAAAGCTATTAGGAAGTGACCATGAGAAGAAAGTCAAACCGTACATGACTGCGTATTTTTAATGCACCAATGCTACAACAGGGCAAACTTTATCTCTCATTCCACATTCGAATAAGCAATGGTTCCATTTCCTTGATTCTCTGCAGTGTGTACAGAGTACTTGCCACCTTCAAATGAGTTCTCATCTTTACAACAGAGAGCAAGATTTAGGATAAAGGTAACACATGAGAAGTTTATATTTTGTGACCTGCAGCTTCCCACACGTAATCCATCACAACTTTACTTTAAAATAAAAAATGAAAGCAACTCTCACCCCTACATATATACCAGCAGAAATGTTATTAAAACCACACCATTTCCTGACCTCATGCATAGTACTGAATTTAAGAAAACAAGCAAACACAAGAAAGCCACCACCCATGGATCACTCAAACTCAACAATTATTTTAGTGATTCAGACAAAAAATATTCAGAAGTGATACATGAAATATTTAACATGACACCCTGTATATACAAAGTCATCCCTAACAGAGTAAGTTTACTTCTACTTGTTTCAACTTCACAATGTCTGCCTTTGTTTAACTAGTAGTGATCAGGATAAGACTTGTTTCCTGCTTCTACGAGCTTATACTTTGGCCTGGATCCTAAGTACACCTTATTTGCTGTATTATTCTATCAGCTTCAATAAAGTTTCATCTCAAGCAAAATGTAACCGCATTTCCTCTAGACATTAAGTCCTTTCTTTGTAAGAAAGAGCAAAAGATCTCATGTCTTCATAAGGCTGTTTCACATTGTCCATTAAGTTCTCTCTATTGCTAGTTTTACTGATTTAAGGTATACTTCAATACATCAGATAACAGTTTAGAAAAGATAAATATTACCTTCTTGCAGCTTTTCAGTTAAAAACCTTAAACCACAGAAAACTCCGCTACTGGAAAACCATTTCAAAATAGGCAGAATGTTGCAAATTGCGTCGTATGGGGCTGCTCACCAGCCTGGCTTCTCCTCTAGGTCCAACCACATTTCTGCTTCTCACAGCCCTTATGCAAAATAATGCTTTAAGGCAACTCTTTCTATCTCATTTAAGAGAAGGCAGCATGCAAGTATTGAGTAAAGGACCTAAAATAAATATACTATGCAGTAGGAGGGTCAGAAAAGAAGTGCTGGCTCAAGCAGAGGAAAAAGATTGACTTATCTTTTATTTCTACTGCTACCACTATTATTATTTGTCCAAACACACAAGAGATTACTTTCAGCATTATTATCCTAAGCTGTTACAAACACCCAGCTGCAGTAGTCACACTGACGGGTTTTAAGGAACAATGGAAGAAGCTGGCTGTGAAGAAGATGTTCCAGTTTCTATTATGATTCTTGAAATTTGAATTCAGTTTCATTTTTTAAATACATTTCTAGTAAAGAAAAACATCTGTTCAATCTATAGTCCTGCAGATATTTTCAGAAACCTGGTATGCAGAATGGGATGGGTCCTTGGTACAAAATCACTAACCAAACTAAAACTTCCGATACTAGTTAAAAAAAAAATAAAAATCAGTATTTCTTTACTTATACAATGCACGTTACCTAACTTTTGTATTAGTAACACAAGAACCTCTGCTTCAGACAAGAAGTCTGATATTCTTTCCTTGGTCCTTTCTGTAGTAAGTGTTACAAATTGCAAAAACCACTTACACTTAAAAAGCATTTTTCTGTCAGGTTTTCTTCCATTTAAGAAACAAGTGCTGGAGCTTTCCCATATTCCTAACTCAAGTGTAAAACAAAGAGAGGTGAGATCTTGCTTCAGAGCCTCACTTCATCTAAACCAAAACAAATCTCAAATCTCAGTTCTTGTCTATTTCTGGAACACGAGCAGAAGTATTGGCTAGGAAATCACAGAATCATAGAATGGTTTGGGTTGGAAGGGACCTCAAAGATCATCTAGTTCCAACGCCCCTACTGTGGGCAGGGACACCCTCCACTAGACCACGTTGCCCAAAGCCTCATCCAACCTGGTCTTAAAGACTTGCAGGGATGGGGCCTCCACAACCTCTTTGGGCAATCTGTTCCAGTACCTCACCACTCTAACAGTAAAGCAACAGAATGACTAGTAGCTGAATTATTTATAGACTTATAAGGCTATGATATTAAATTTTACAGATATTTGTAGGAAAAGGACCTTAGAGACCTCTTGTCCTAGGACCCAACCTAAAAACAGTCACAGCAAATGCAATACCAAGAGGCACAGCACGTGGCCTAACTATAGGCAAGTGAGCACCTGCAGCAGGAAGTCGCTCTAGCAGCTTACAGACACTTCAACTAAAGAACCAGTGGAAGAATAGGGAGGAAAGAGAATGGAGGGCACAGAAATACAGAACGCAAGGACAATAGCAGAGAATCAGTAGAGTGTACCCTCATCTCCCCATTCCTCCAAACAGCATTTGTTTAATTAGTTTCCCAAAAAGAAATACACACATGCACGCATGCATCGGATGGGGCTTCGGGCAACTTGGTCTAGTGGAAGGTGTCCCTGCCCATGGCAAGGGGCTTGAAACTAGATAATCTTTAAGGTCCCTTCCAACCCAAACTATTCTATGATTTAACAAGAATCATCTGAATGCTTGGACATACAAAAAGAAAAGAAGCTTGCTCTAACAATCTCTTGCACATAGCTGTAGAACAGCAGGGGGAAAACATTCATATGCATCATCGCTCAGAGAGAAAAGCCTGCCATGATACGTTATGTGTGACACAAGATACAGAATAAATACTACTTGCCAAATACCACCGTTTTCCACCAATAGTTTCAAAAAGTGTCTCTGTTCGGGAAACCCTTAGTCAGCCAACTATTTGCCTATTTTGCTCATCGGGTACTTCCTATGAAATCTACCCAAGCATTCAAGGTCCTAAAGCTGTCGGAGACATGAAAATAAACATGTGCTAGCAGAGTCACTTCCATAAATGCACATACTTAAGACTGGTGGTTTAGGAATTCCTTTGAGGAATCACTCCATCTAGAAATTCTTCCTTCTGCTAAAACTTACTTAAGTTTGACATATCATTAAAAGAATAACTTCATACTGCAATTCTACACAGTCAAATCCCCTTGTAACGGTTACCTCATCTTGCAGTGTCAGTCACAAACATGGGCAAAGACTATTTTAAAGATCAGTTTCACTGAAGATTATTACAACATAGTTTAGATGATCAAGATAAACTGAAATTAGAATGTACCAGGTTAATGATACAACCTGAACTACAATTCTTAAAGCAGAGAACTTGCCATGTAACTAATTCCATTACTAAGATTTCACTATCAGTTTCTTCCTGACTGCATTCTACTTGTTAGTTGGCACTCAAACTGTAGGTCAAAAGCAGAGTATGTAGGCATTGTGCCTGAAGTGCTTCAACTTATAAATGAAATTAACTAAACTTATTACAACTTACATATACATGCATGTTTTTTACCTTACTCTTTACTATTTAATAACTAAATAAGGAAAGACACACACATTCCATATTTTGCCATCATTCTAACAGTTCCCCCTACTCATGCTCCATTTTCTCTTTCTCACTACATCCCGGGTAATTTTACAATGTCCTTACCCAAACCAGAGAAGCAGAAGTGCTATACAGAGCAATTTACACAATACTGTAGTGCTGTATGAGTTATTACAGATTGATCATTACCTCAATAAGCTACTAGCACAGACTATAACATCATGTCCAGATCTTGGGGGATTTTGTGATCTTGGTCCTGAATACTTAAACTCAGTGTCCTCTAAGTAACAGAATTAGTTCAGAGCTTCCCTGCCAGGTTGCCCCCTGCATTTATTAAACACTGAACTTAAAGCATTGACTATATCTAAGGTTTTCAAACATAGTACTAGTAACTCTTTAGGAACTTACACCTCAGACATCAAAAAGCATGGCTTTTGAAATACAAGCATGATTAGAGTTACCAAGAGACTACACAATCCAGTGTTTGCACCCAATCATGTCAGGACTTGTAAGCAACCTCACACATACTCTGATCTCACAGTAAGGCAGGCTATAAGATTCTAGATAGGTGGGTAATTTTAAGATCTTTGTTTCAGTGTCCTACCATTTTTAAATGGTATCTTTTACCTTAAGCATTAAAGTGAATTCCACAAAGTGATAATTCTGAAGTGTTTTCTGAAGTCATCACTTTCAGGTTAAGCATGTTACATTTTTTGATTTGCGCTATACCATTTCTATAAATTATTTTTCAACTACTCTCTCACCTTCCATAAAACTGTGGCAGAGAACTTCATTTCTCATTTATTTTGCTCCATTATCTCTCTCTATATATATATATAAAATATCTTTTTAAGTTAGAACATTATAATTAATTTTAAAAAGACAGGTTCACTAGAAGATTGATACTTTTTCAACTTATTTCAGAAAAGAAATACTACACAGATATACACAATAAGCAATATAGATTCAAAGACAGTATGTTTTTAAAAGTTTTCTCACATGTGTTTTTATCATCATCTGTGAAGTATAGGATCTGATCATTATTGACGGAGGAACTAAATTGTTATAGAATTCTTACCCGATGTCAGTTAGAGGTGGTTTGTCCCGGCCTCTCTTGTAGCAAAGAAAAAGTTCAGGACTCTTTAGACTTCCATAGTTTAAGTTGGCTTGAAGGCCTGTAGGGGTGGCTTCAATACAGGTGTATCCCTCTGGGACAGTTTCACCAGTTGACTTAATTATCACAGCAATGTCAGTAATCGGAGCCTTTGGACCAGTTGATTTTGTTTCATGTCGGCTTACTTCTTGGTCCAGGAGGGTTGCAGTATCTGTATCAGTGAGCCCTGCCACTACAAAATAGTCAGCCACTCGTGGACCTTTGTCTTCTATCATGGTTATGTCAGTACTTCCTGGGAAAAATAAAGAGAAAGAAATCAAACATTCTGCTTTCAAGCTAAACCCCTTCCCTCAACAATTACGAAGATTTAAAAGCTTTAAAGAGATAATTGAAAAAAAAATTACTATATAGAGATTTCATGAAAATTCTAGGGAAAAATCCAAAACAAATTTGGATTGTCAGTAATTGCATTTCAGTTCTAGCATTGTAACAGTCATGTTTTAGCACAAGGAAGTTTAACTGAGATAAAGAAGAACTCAAAGTTCCTAACACAGCAGCTACACAGAAAATTGCTTGGTGCTAGCTATTAGACCATTCAAGCTCTTCACAGGCTATAAAGTAATGTAGGTACCCTTAATGAAAAGCATCTATATGTTTCTGCCATTGTTTCGTGAGTAATTTGACTACAGAACCATGCTGCTTTTTTTTTTTTTTTTTGAGAGAGAACAATTACAAGTATAGGCTCACTAGTTTATCTTTTGCACATTTCATCTATTCTGTCTCATAATCTAGACTTAGCTGTGCAGTCTTGAGACATGCAGCTGGCAACTGTAACATCTGGAAGTCGTTTACAAAAATCACACATCCAAACCCACATTTCATCAGCTGATCAGGCAGTACACATCACTGCTCAGCTGCACATTCCAGAACTGGAAAGAGTTGTTCTCCCAACACCAGCAAATGTTTACTAAATATATGATTTTAAACTGGTGAAACAGAAGTTTCTATTAAGAGCAGAACTAGCTGACAGACCATGCTCAAATATCACAAGTACAATTTCAAGTACCCAATCTCATGAAATACCTATGTTTATAGAAGTTGAGTGAGAAACATCTAAACAGTAGTTGCCAGCTTCTTTTAGATCCCCATGTTTCCATCACCAGATTTCTGGGGATCCCATCTAGAAAGCTAACCAAAAATGGAAGTCTGGTTCCCATCTTTGAAAAGAAGACTGCCACAGCTGCCAAGGTCCCACCTACCAAGGACTGGTGGTCATGTGTATTACCAAATAATAACTGCACCAAAATTGAGACGTTTCTTGTCTTTAGACTATCCTATTCTGCTAACTGCAGAAACATTGGCCTCTGCTAACAGAAAAGCGGTTTGGCGGAGACAGTATAATCCTGTTCCCTGCAACCTGGTTTCTACTCCTGTTCTTATCCTGCTATTTCTGACTGAAATTATACCTAAAATGTATTTTCCATCTTCACATTTTACAAGACTTTACCAGCAGGGAAAGGAAGGTAAATAACTTCATGCAAATTTGTAGTACCTATATATTCCAACTAACTCCATTTGTTATTTTCTAACACTGAAATGACAACTTTTCATATCCCTTCAAACCTGAAAGAAGAGTACCTACACCCTTTAAAAGACTCATCTCTTCTGCAATATTTTTCCACAATGCTTTTCACAACATCACTTCAGTGTTCTCTAAACACTTTGGCTATCAGCCTTTGTAGGACAATCCATCAACAGAGATGCTGAGAAGAGAAACAGCAGTGTTTGGCTCCTCTGAAAAGGGGAAAGCCATGGGACAGCTACTCACATGACTGAGTTTTCGGGACTAAAAAATGTGGATGCTCTATCAATAGGAATAAGAGGTTTATTCAACTTGTCAGGTGTTCAGTGCCTAAGTCTCCTAAAGAACAAGACAATTACTCCAAAGCCATAGCTACTTGTGAAGCTTATGAATCACTTTCAGCTACAAACTTGCAGCAGTTTACCCTTTTTACTGTCATAAACAACATGAAATTAGTGATAAAGCTCTTTATAGGTAAGTCAGCATGAAATCAGAAGTAATGGCTTCAACTTAATCTCACATAAATTGGTGCTTCTATTAAAAGGTCCCTCCTCATATTGCCACTGCTCATTCCCACCTTCAGTTTTGTACAGTACTATAGTTTGTGCAACCACATAATGAACTGGCACAAGGAATTGCTCTGACTGAATGCTAACCTGGCAGAGACTGTTTAGCGTTCAACCGGAGCAGTTCTCCAACAATTCACTGTGTCAGCACAAAAGCAGCAGCAGTATGCCCCTTACAGCTGCAGCACTGGATTAATCATAAAACTGTGAAGTCTAAGATGTTTCAGTTTGCCTCTTAGATGCTTGGACGTGTTCATTGAACTATAAAAATGAAGAAATAAATAAACTAACCACTCCCTGCTCCCCTTAAAAGAAAGGAAAGTCCTGAGCCAGAATATCTTCTAATCTGGGAAGTACTGTTTGCACTTGATATATGTAAAACCAAATTACTGGAACAAGCTGCTAAAAATAGCAAAATGGTTGGCATCATATAACTTTTTTTAAAAAACCCAAAACCCTTGTTAAATGATCCAGCCTTTTATCACCTGCTACATGTTCACACAGCTCAATTTCATGTTCCCTCAATGCAACACTAAAATTATTGCCCATATTTACCTTTAGCACACAGAGCAGGAAATAAAACAGCAACTATAACAGCATGTAATGTTAAAAATCTCACAACAGTTTGCAGTTTTTTAATCACAACTGCAGCTCCTGGAATTGCGCTAATGTTATCCTTGAATGTTTTTTATAGTGAAAATTTAACTTTCCTGGGTAAATGGAGTGAGAAAAATTTAAAAGTACCTGAAAAATTAAATATTAAGATTTGGAAGATTAAAATGCAAATGAAGATAATTCATTCCCAAATTTTTACCAGTGGGGATCAATAAAACTGTAGCAATTGGTTGCCAAGGAGCATACACATCTCTCTTTTTTTTTATTTGTCTCTTAGCCATGGCTATGTTTTACTTCACAGAAACTCTGTAACATGTGACAGGCAAAAGTCAGAGTCACCAGACAATTCAGCTGAGAAACTTGGCACACAAGCCTCATATGTCAGCACAACATTTAGCGAGTTTTTTGAAATGTTCTGAGTCTCTCAAAACAGTTCCCTTCCTTTTCCACAAGGACAAGAGGTAAGGTTTCAAGTACACTCTACAACTCACCTCTTCCAGGATTTATTCTCCAGTTTCAGAAAGTTTTAAAGCAACAGGATCTCTCAAGAGAGACCTTAAAGTAATATATCTTAATTAAGTCATGGTTATCTTCTTTAATGCAAAAGCTGTATAAATATAAAGACACTAAACTATAAATTAGCAGATAGCCACCAAAACAAATAGGAATAGCAGTGTCCAAGGACACTTTACTTTCTGAACTGCAGGAAAAAATAAACGTATTATTTGTGGGGGAACAAGATGAATCCACTGCCATTTTCCACTATTTTTGTGATACCTCACACAAGAATAAGTGTGCACACTGCTCCACTTAAAAGACAAGAGAACAAACATTCTTTTAAGAGATCTTATATAGTAAGTTTTATCACAGCAACTTTTCCACACCATAATTTCAACAGATGCTGTACTCTGTCAATTTTCTAAGAGTAGGTTTCTGTACATCATAAGACTAATACATTTATGAAATATTGAGATTTTTATTGTAACACCCCATTCTCTTGCAGGATGAAACCCAAATACAAAAAAAAAAAATCTGAAAATAAAACCTGTTACCTTGGTGTTGGATGATGAAAATGCAGGATATATTGAACAGAAAACCCCACCAACACACAAGTCCCATGGAAGATTATTTTTTTTAAGTCTACAAAGACACTTCTGTTTCAGTCAAGTAAACTGAAAACAAAAATTGGGAATTCTGTTTTAAGAACATAAGCAATACTGTTTGAAGAACTACAAACCTCCAAGTCCATAGAGATCCATAAGGGCTATGGAGAAATTATCTAAGTGAATTTACTCTTCCAGTTCATTCATAGGACATAATAGGAAAGTTTGCTATGAACAGTATAGGACCAAAATTATTTTTAGATTTAAAAAAAAAGAATAATAATCTTCAGAATAAAATATGTACTTTTAAAATCCCCATACTTTTCTAAAAGGAATTCTCACTGGAATTAGTTTTGTAGATGAAAAACCAAACCAGCCTGCACAGACAACACTTAAAGGCACTTAGCACAACTAGTCTAAGTCAAGAGATCCATTTAGCAAAAATACGCAGGAGTGGAAAAAATAAATTATTTTTACTGCCACATGCCAGAAATATGGCAAAATGTTCTCCTCTCCCACAGACCTCTCTAAAAAGACAAGAGCCTTTCTCCCAACCACAATGTAATTTTACAATTCTTACATAATGCTCTCAAAAATACAGCAATTCAACTATTAGCTTCATATAGGCCACAGCCCATTCTTAAAGAGAGATTTCGTAGTGAAATTGTCTTGGGGAAAAGGTTTCCATTCTAAAGATCACCATTATGAATTTTGAAGAATTATGAAAAAAATACTACATTATTAGAAATTGCTTCAGTTTATTGACTGCTGTCTAAAACACCAGTTAGATTTTTCTTTCCATATAGCTAGACTGCAATTACCTTCATTTGCAGTTAGCTGAACCACAACAGAGTTGTTCTTGCAAACATATAAAAATTTGTGAGAGCAAGTTACAAGCAGCCACAATGAAGTAAAGATGACAATGTAAATTAAATTAGTACTGTATTTGTATTTTATTTCATAGCTATGTTGCTTTTATGACATAGTTACAAGCTTTTCTAAAATGGAGATTAATAATTTAAAGTTCTCAGTCTTCATTTACAGAGATTGCCACAGCTGAAGACTCCTATTCTTCAGATACATAAAAAAGTTTTCTTCTGCATTACCCACAAAACACACATATTCATTTGTGGAAGTCTACTTCGGCTATCTGTCATACTCTGAGTAATAACAAATATTTATCTTAACATTTGTAGATCCACAACTATTTTCCCAAGACTCTTCCATTTAAATTCATTAATGGCATCACTTGCTTTACCACTGCACTGGCTGTTTGTAGTCCAGTAATGTTTGCTTTGAATTCTCTATAACGTAAATACGGTGAGCAGTACTTCATTTTTCAAGAGTGGAATTATAGGAAAGTGCCTGTCTGCTCATCTAAAGTAAAGACCTAGATGCAGCACAAAGAAATAGCAGCAAA